TCGCCCTCAGGCGCGACGCGGGCGAGGGGGGCCCCCGCCGCGGGCAGCCCGCGCCGTGTCACTAGGTCCCCCCGCGCTTTCCAACGGGCCGACGTCTCAATGCATTCTTCGCGTGGGCCGCGGGGGCAGTCTGCCTCGCGCCGCTCGCGCAGGCCCAAGGCCCCGCGCCGGCACGACTCGAACTCGGAGTTGCGGATGGCCAGGAAAATGACCGCGCCGTCTGCGCGCGCCCGTCGCGCCAGAGCGGCCGCCGCGCGCGCGAGCGCCCGCGCGGCGAAATCCAGCCAGCTCACCTCTCGGCCGAGATCGGACTTTCCAGGAGCGCCAACGGCGCCCCGCGGCGAGCGGGGCCCGCGTTTCGGCGGCGGGCGCCCACGAGATAGTCTGCCCCCGTCCACCTCGCGCGCCCGCTGCGCGATAAACGCGCGGCGCCTCCGCGGCCGAGCGACCCCCGCCTCGCCGGGGCCCCGCTGGGCAGCGCCAAGGCCCGCCTTCCGCGCCGCCGCCGAGATGTCGCACATGCGCGGTCGCGGCGCGCGAACCCAAGGGCACGGGATCAGGCGGTCGAGGGCGGCCCCCGCGACGCGCGGGCGGCCGACCCGGGGTGCTCTGGCCCCGACGTCGGAGACAAGACTCCCACTCTTCCCGGCCCGGCGAATGGCGGCCGTCGCGCGCAGGCTCGGACGGCGCCCGCCCTCCTGGAAGACCGTCGGCGACCTCCCAGAACGCGGGCCCTGCCGGGCAGGGGCCGCGCATGACGCCGCGCGGGTCGGCGAGGGCCGGGCGCGAGAGGGCGCGGCCGCGGACCAGCCGCGGCCTGGGCCGTCGGGCGCGCGAAGCTACCTCGCGCGCGCTGGTCCGGGGGCTCGAGCAAGACGGCGGCGGCAGACGGCGGCGGCGGCGGTGCGGCCGCGGCGAGAGGGCGCCGTGGAGCCCGCGGAGGAGCGGCCGCCGCGGTCGGAACGCAAGCTAGACCTCCTTGCGCGCGTCGTCTCTGCGCAAACAGATGGGGGGGCGGGCAAAACCGCTCTGCGCGCGCATCGGCGCCCGCTCTGGCGAGGGTGTCTTCGGCGAAACAGGCCCGACCACCTTTCGCGCGGACTCTCGAGCCCCGGACTTGCGGGGCCGTCGCAGGCGATGCGCGCCGGGCAACCTTGCGCGCGGCACCTCGGGGCCCGGCAATTCGGGGACGCCCCGGCGAAACAGCAAAGACCATGTTGCGCACGCGTTCTCAGAGCCCGCGGGCGTCGACGCCGCGCGCCCCCCACGGCGCAAATGCCTGGCCGCGCCCACCTTTCGCGGCGCAACTGTCTGGACAAGCCCCCCGCGCTGCACGTTTAAAAATGATGGTGGCTGGGCAATTGCGCCCGTTTAAAAATAATGATGCCTCTCAGCTACCCAGCCGCAGCCCGATCGACTTCCATATTCCTACAAAAGGGTGGCCTTCGTCGACGCTGCGGCGACGCATTTGCAGCGCCGCGACTATCCGGCGGCGCCTGCCGCAGCGGGGTCTTCCCACGTGAGAAATCAAGCTTCATGGGCGGGGCACTTGAGTGAGTGCTCTCTGCAAATGAAAAACAAAATCACCACTTGTCATCCTTTCAAAAATCCCACGAGCACCCGAACACCAGGCCCACCGTCCTTGATTAACGGCCAGGCGAGGCGGGCGCAGCAGACTGGTAATGTTTTTCTTGATCTCTTGTATCAAACCAAAAAGCACAGTCGCAACGTCGATGGCCCTCGCCCGCATCGAAACGACATCGCGTGGCGGTGGCTGGATAGTTGCGGGGCACCTGCGCAACTACCTGGCCACCGTCCCTCGTGACAAATTACAGCGCGGTGGGCGCCTCCAAGTAGTTGCGCCACGATAGACGCGCCGCGGCGACGTCGGGCGGCGGCGCGGCGACAGGGGCGCGAGGCGACCGCGCGAGCGCTGCAGTCGAAGCTTGAGAACGAGCCCCAGAAAGCAAGGGCTGCGATGGCGACTGCGGCGACGATGGCGACGCGAGCGCGAGGGCGGTTGCGACGGTGGCAACGCCGGTGATGATGCCGACGATCCGGCTGCCTCGTCTCCCCCGCGCAGTTCTGTTCGGCGTAGCGCGCGGCGGCGGCAACCTAACCGCCCGCGAGCAGCCTGCGCCTGAGGTCCGCGAGCTCCGCAGAAGTCAGCGCGCCGAGCCCTTCAAGGGGGGGCCAGCTCACCGACGACCTCGCTCGCCGCGCGGGCCCCCGTGTCGCGGGCGCGGGCTGGCCACCCTCCGACCTGGGCCCCGGGCCTCCTGGCGCGCCCCGCGGCTCGGCCAGTTCGGAAGCGGGTGCGTCGAGTCCGCCCCCCCATCGAGATGGAGCCTGGCGGCGCAGTGGGCGCAGTGTTTCAGGATCTCCTGCCGCTCCTGCGCAGGGACGGCGTGCGCGCAGAGAATATAGCGGACACGCTGGTCCATCCGATCCGTCTCGTACTTGTCCCCCGCTTGTCGCGCGCCAGCATGATCTTGTCGGGCGCAGTGCTCAAGGCCGGCGTCGTGCCTTCCAACATCGTGCCCCCGCCTCTGTTCTTGGTCTCCCAACGTTCGCTGGCTCGCCCTCCAAAAAATCCGACGACGAAACGTATCCGTTCAAGCCAGCGCAGCCGCGTTTTACGCAACATCGCTAAGGAACACCAGTTCCTTCTCCAGCACCGCTTCGAGTTGGTAGCTAGACTTCTTTTGCTGATATCGTACACCAGCGTCAAGCGTCTGAACGAGAAACTCTTGCCCGAATCTCCAGCGCCGACCAGGCAGAGCACGCGTTGCTTCGCCATCGGTGTTCCCAGCGCGCCGAGTACCGCTGCCTTGAGGAAGGAGGCCGTCGAACTTGCTGGGCATCGTTGCTGGATGGTTTGGTGGGGCCACGCGAGACGTCAAGAGTTCGTCCACTCCGTGGTTCGCGCCAGGGTCGCGACCCTGCGTGCAGTTCACGTCCAGCACAACGAAAGGTGGGTGGGGGTAGGTACCGCGCAGGTGGGGCGCATAAAATAATACATCCGAAAAGGAACCACGAGCGGTGGCAATGGCGACGGTGATGGCTATAATCGGTTGCAGAATGCGGCCGGTGGGGCACTATCCGCACCAAAGCCCACGGATCATCGCAAGGAAATTGGCTGAAGGAACGCGGGTTCTCCCGTCACGCGGATGATAAGATGGTGGTAGGTAACGAATGAACTCGATCATGACGCCTACAAGCGGGCGAGACTCGCCAAACATAAACAGATATGTTTTTGTTCGGCGTGTGCACGGCCGGCGCCACTTCAATGCTGGCATCAGGTGCTTGGCCCATGCGCATAGGTGTGGCAATGCCCCCACAGCATTGAAGAAGACGTTTCTCGACAAGTACCCGAAGCATCCGCGCTTCGACTTTGAACGGCGTGTCAGCTTCTCTGAACGAGGATCGAAGGGAAAGAAATTTGTGAGATTGCGAAACGTTCCGTTATCCGTTATCACGCATCTTTCTTGCCCTGAAGCACATGTCTTCCCCTAACACAAATCGTGGTACAGACAAAGGGTAAGCTGGGATAGTTGGCGCGATGGCGGCAGTGAAACGAACAACAGACTCGCGTAACACTTCCTGCTTTTTCCATAAGTTATCCGCAACCATCCCCCTGGTGTTATCAGGAGTGCAAGGTCGGATTGTACCCCCCAGGGCAACGTCCCCGTCCGACCCCCCGCAGCCGACGCTTTCTGAACACACGGTCGCGCCACTTCAACCAACGGCAAGGGCCGAACCCCCGAACACACCTCCAGGGTTCTTTCTCCTAGCCTCAAAATCAACCTTCCGTGGCTACTAAAATGCCCAATGTGCTCAATGTGGCCGAGTTTCTCCGGCCGAACCGGTCCCAGGCCGAATTTTTCTGGCCGAGCTCAATGTGGCTGAATTTCTGTTGGCCGATTTTCCTGGGCCGAGTATCTCCAGCCGAGTTTCTCCACGTTGCAGCCGGAGCACCGGCTAATTGAAAAGGGCCGAATTTAGTTTCCAGCTGGTCGAATTCACATGGGCCGAGTTCGGCCGGGCCGAGATTGTCGTGGGCCGAGTTCAGACTGGCCGAGTTCAGGCGGCCAAATTCAGAGTGGCCGAATTCAGTGGGCCGAGTCTAGCCGAACGAGTTTTTCCTGACCGAGTTTAGTAGCTGCCCTCGGGGGCCAAAAGCGACCCTCGCCCCCAGCCAGGACCCCCTGGATCACCAGGTCGGGAGTCTGGGTCCGGGCTGACGGTGGGGGTGGGTTGTGCTGTCCTCAGTGATCATCGCCGTGGTCGACGCCGTCGGTATCGCCGTCGTTGTCGTCGTCGCCGTCGCCGTCGCCGTCCTGGTCGTCGTCATCGCCGCTGTCGTCCCAGCGGCAGGCCTGCGCTCCGCAGAGAAAAATGCGCCCACTCCTCGATAGGCTCCACAAAAAAACGTCGTCCACCGAAACTTGCAGGGCCTGACCAACATCTGCAACTTCCGAGGGGGACGAGACCGTGGAGCTGGGCCATTGCCCAGTCGTCCAATGCAGGTACTCTCGTGTGGTACGGGAGCAGGAGGGGGAGACGGCTCTGGTTTTCATGGGCGCGCTACCTCCAGTAGGAGCAGCCCCTCTGGACGCCTTCGGAGACCCTGGAGGGGTGCCCTGGACACCCCAAGCACAGCACCAAAGATCACCCCTGCGAAATGCCACCCTTGCGTATCGCTGAACCTGTTCCCCGCTGGACGAGGGCGGGGTCAAGCTCCCCCGAATATTTGGGACGGGCAAACATATGACGACGCCCAACAGCGATGGCCGACCAGAGCAGACAATGGTCGCTTTGGGGCAGGCAGGCCCCAAACGGCCAGTCGCAACAACACCAACAACAAGTTATGTTGTTTGAAATGTGCAGGAACTGTTGCTGGGCCTCGGCCCTATCCAGATCAAGCCTAATGCATCCAACACGCATGAAGCTTACGAAGAAGGCAGATGGGGAGGTCAACGGCGCTGCTCCGCGCGGGCCTGAGCTGCCAGGCCTTGGTGACACGATCTCTGCCCGTCACTTCGCCTACGTCTGGGGACTCGTACCACGCGTTGACCGCGAAGTAGGACGGCTTGACTTCCTCGTAGGCGCGGCGGGTCTCTGGGCACAAAGATCGCGGAAGGAAGGGGGTGACTAGGAAGAGGGGGATGACGACGATGAGGCAGGCGGCAGGCGGGACAAGAAGAAATTCGTTCATGGGGGCAGAACAGAGCGGCAATGCGCCACCGTGTCTCTGGGCACGGAGTGGGCGTGTCCTCAGGTCCTGTCCTTCATCCCCTGAGCCCCAGTCTTCAGTGCTGGGGAGTCAATGAAGGGCCCGGAGCACAAATTGCCAAATCTCCCAGGCCTTTCGTGAGGATTCCCCCGGCGTGGTGGCGAATGACTTTTTCGTTTTTCGGGTCCAAGAGGGCTCCATGACGGACACGGAAGGCCTCAAGACGCCCCCAGGAGGACCAGCAAAGAGTCCAAGAGCCCCCAGAGGCCTCCAAACTGCCTCCAGGAGGATTCCGAGAAGCTGCTCGCGAGATCCCACATAACATCCAAGAGGACTCCGAACCACAACCCAGACACGTTGGCGGGATGGGCCGAAGGCCAGCAGCTATTGCCCAGGCGGGGCTCCATCCTATCCATAATACCTGCAAGCTGCGAGCTCTCCAACACTCGGTGTAACCAACCTGAGCCCGAAATACAAGGCTTCGTGGTCCGTTGAGTTACCCGCTTCCCTGGCTGCGCCTGCCTGCGCGAACGTGAGCCAATGCGCCACGAATTACCCATCACTATCGTGCGCACACCAGAACTGACGCTGGGCTGGCACGATCGTTGCCTGGTAGGCATGCCTCTGGTCGACGATGGCGCTCGAAGTGCGGAGGGTCTCGAGCGTGGCCCATGTGTCCCAACACTTTGCTGCGCTTCGCATGTGCACTCGTTATCCTAATACGTTGTTGCAAGACCTTGCTGCGGTATCTAACAAGTAATTTCGATATGACAAATCGGTCGCCGTTTATGCAACGGTTGTTGCGCAACGGGCCGCTGCATGCTTTGTTAGCTCCGATCCTTGCGCGGCACTAGACAGTGACCTCGACACACGAACTTCAACATGCATTGCTGTATGTCCATGGCCAAACTCATATCGCATTCACCTTCCATAACAATCTGTGAAACCACATGCAACATTATAGGTGCTGCTTTCCGTGTCTCCCCCACGCTCCCGCCGTACCCGTGACGGGAAGACGACTCGCGGCCAGCCCCCTGCCCCCCATGGTACCCCGAGGCCAATCATGGTCATGCTTCTGAGCGACGCCGCCTCGTTGGACGACCGACTCAAGGCCCGCGCTCCGCCGCCGTGCCCCCTGGAATGTCGAGGCGTGGTGAAATGCCAGGCACTGGTTTGCATGCGCCACCTCCCCCCCATCTCCCAAGGCTCTCTGTGCATTCGGCGCCTCCCTGACGCTCTCCAAGGCCTTCCAATTCCCGCAGATGGCTGCTTGTGCAGCGGGGGCAGGCCGCCGAGGCTGACACAATGGCCCACGATGCCAAGGTGGCCCAAGCAGGCGCCGAGACTGCCCATGATCGTATCACGACAGCCCGAGAACCGCCAGGACGGCCCGAAGAGGCCAATCATTTTCTGCCCGTTGGCTTTTCCATGGCTTTCGAATTTCACGTGTTCGGGCTTCCGTCAGCCCAAGGCGTTCCAAGAGGCCTCCATGATGGCCTCAGGACGGCCTGAGAGGCTCCCGAGGAAGGCTGAAAAGGATCTCAGGAAGGCCCAAGAGGCCTCCAAGACGGCCGAACGAAGCCCCAACGCGGCCCTACAGACCCCTAAAGGGCCCCAAGAGAAGGCCCAGAGAGGCCCCCAAGCCGGACTCCGAAGGCGACAGGCTGCCCACGAGTTCCACAAGACGACCCAAGGAGCCTCCAAGAGGCCCTCGAGACGCCAACAGAGGCCAAGAGAGAAGGAGAGAAGAAGAGGAACGGAACGGATGAGGAAGAGGAGGACGACGACGAACACGATGACAGGCAACCCGACACGACTAAGAAGAGCGCGTCACATGTTATGGTTCCCTAAAATTTGAGGCAACGAGGTGTCACACTTTACGTGTTTGTGCGCACGTCGAAGGTCGCCACACAGAGTGCCGAATTGGCACGGTGACGGGACTTGCCGCAGACAGCTGGATAACCATCATGGGAGGAGCAGTAGAGGAACAACCTGGCGGGTCCGCTGAACACCGAGAAGGCCATTGAGTCCACTAGGCGTTGTTTCAGTTTGGGCGAGCTAGCAGGAAGTCATCAGGCGGCCCTCAACCTGCAAGAAAGTAGACTGCGGTGATGACTGCAAGCCCCAACTTGCATCCCCTCCCACCTAAGATCTGTTCAGATTCTGTCCTCGGACCGTTACCTGGCACCGCCCGCTTTCAAACTGGACACATCTTAGGACAAGCCTACCGACACACCCGCGCAGCAAACCCTCCCTGCGAGTCAATGACCCTTCGATGTTGGCAAGCACAAACGCGGCGGCGGGAAACAAACGGGCGCCGCACGGTGGGTGGAGTGGCGGCCCTGGGGGCGGCCCAACACCAGAAAGGCTGGCGGCGGTCCTTGCCGAGTCGGAAGAGCATCTCGATACCACGCTGGGGAGAGGCGCGCCTCTTTTCTCTTCTACTCTCAAGGCCGTGAGAACACAAGGTCCCTCTCCATGGCTTCGGACGTCAGCGTCGCTCATTTAGACTTAGCGGACACGTTTCTAGCAATAAACATCCAGTCGTGCTGTGACGGGCAAGGGGCCCCTGCTCCTTTCGGCCTCCACCAATGATGAGCATACGAAAGTGCGCACCTATATAGATAACAGTCTGTGTGTGTGCATGTGTATGTTTGTATATGTGTATGAATGGACACATTTGCCACCAGCCCTCTGGACGCAGGTGGTCTAGCGAGTTCGGTATTCCACACCTTTCGTCCCCTTCGGAGACGGGTTTACCCCTCTACGCCCCCACCCCTGGGTCCGGGAAAGGGGGGCTGCGATGGGTTCGGGCATCCAAGATGTCTCAAATATGACCCCCATATCGCCCAATACGACTTCCAAGAAGGCACAATCTAGCCCAGGATTGCTCAAGATAACTTACAACATGCCTCATATAGGCCTGAAGACCACCCAACGAAAGCTCCAACCAGCCTCCGAGCATCCTAACGACGACTCCGAATGCCAAGACTTCCCCCAACGAAGCACCCTGATAACAGCAAGTGTGAAGAGGCGGATCGATGAGTTCGAGATCGGCTAGGGAACATGTGCATTCTTAGGTATTCCTGAGGATTCCTAGGCGTGACAAAATTGGAAAGACGGCCATGTGCGCCATGTGCACCGTGAAGGGTGGCCGGGTGACAGGGATGAGAGCACGGCCATGTGCACCGCCATATGCCATGTTTTTTTTGTTTTAAGGCGTCGTGGCCGGGTGACAGGGGTGAGCGCACGGCCACGCGCACTGCAATTTCACGAAGGATCGTGGCCGTGCGACAGGGGCGAGCGTACGGCCGTGTGCACCGCAGCGTACTGTGCTCGTCTGCACAGAGTCGTGGCCGTGTGGCGGGGCTGAGGGCACGGCCGTGTGCGTCGATGGCCTCGACTTTGGAGGGCGAGGGCACGTTCCCCATACCTCTCCGCCACAGAGTGTCTTGCTGCGGCCACGTGGACCTTGGCGAAGCTGCCGCTGCCTTCGAATGCGCTGTCATTTTGCTCCTGGTCAGGGCAGGCTCGCAGTCGGGAGAGGTCGAGATGAATATGGGGCAGGGGATGGCAACTTTCTGGCATGCCCTGCGCGCCGTTTCTGCCGACCTCCCCCGCTTCGGGGGCCAAGAGGTACTGCACTTGTTGTCTGGGCCTGTCCAAGCCCAGGCTGTCTGATGCCTTCGGGTCCGCGAGGCCCAATTATTTGCCTGAGATCAGTTCCCCTTACGAGACATGGAAAGCCCCAAAAGGATCCCAAGAGATGCCCAGAAACAGTACAGAATTGCTCCGAGAGGGCTCCAAGACGCCTTCAGGATGCGAAGTACCGACGAATATCTGTTGTGGTTGAATTTTGGATGCATGCTGCTGAACTCCTCTGATCAAGGCAGTTCGCCTGCCGATCTTTTCTGGATGGGCTGGTTGGAATAAGGCGTCGACAATACATAGACATGCGCACTGACACCCAAATCCATGCGCCTCCCGTCCGCTGCGCCCTCCAACATGAGCGCTCAGTGGAAAGGTAGCAATCTAACTGACGTGTGCCAGATCGAGGACTTTGTTTCTGTTTCATGGGAAATTGCGTGGCCCAGGCCCGCAACGCTGCCCGTTCCCGGCCTGATTTGGACTGGACTCGGAGCAAATTCGGGACCGGATCTGGACTGGATTCGCCCATTTTCACAAGGGAGACGAGAAAACAGGAAAGGAGGAGGAGGAGGAGAACGACAGGAGGGGGATAAGGAAGCTAACGAGTGGACAAGGGAGCTAAGGGAGGGGGCGAGGGCGAGGAGGAGCAGGGGGGAAGGGCAAAATAGGGCCCACATGCAGGAACATATGATGTCCATGTCGCCGCCCAGAGCTCTCACGAACGGACACCGAGCGAGGGGGTACCACAGATGCGCGTGCTCCAGTCTCCTGGTGTGGGGGACCTCTCGAAATACGCCAGGCCTACGCTGGCCTCCTGTAGCCGGCCCACCTGCACCAGCCAGCGGCCCGTTCCCGGGGACCGAGAGAGGCACCCAGAGGCCACAGCATTAGAAAACTCGTGATGTCGTCCCGAGTTGTTCAAAACATTGGAATTCGGAGGCATCTCCTGCGAGATCTTCGTCAGAACGACTGGAGGCTACTCAGCCCGATTACGGAGCATTGAGCCGGACAAGGCTGGACTACGTCCCGGATTAGCCCGGATTGAAGCCCGATTGAGCGGGATTGCGCCAGATTGAAGCGATAATGAGCCGGAGAAGGCGGGAATGACCCTGATTGGGCCAGTTTTCGACGACGCATCTGCTAACGCGGAATCTTTGTTTAGCCTCGCAGGAATTGCATCCTACTCGGAGGTCTTATTCCTCACCCCAACCTCTGCTTCCACAAAGTGGCGGTATCTCCAGGAGAGAACGCTTCTGTTCTACAATTGTACCGTTTCTCAAGCACCGTGCGGTCTCCAGGGGCCGCCTGGTGATGACAGAGGATCTGACGTTGTTTCTTCCCTGTTTGGGCGTAATTGCGGTGATTAGCGTCAGGATCTGGTTTAAAGTAGGGAGATGTGGCGTGTCCAGCTCTGTCAATTTTTATGCGACCGGTATAAGATTAGACAGCGTTGAGGCCCGCTAGGCTGGCGAACGAGCCCTTAGGCACGAGATGGAGTGTCCTCAGGTCTCTCACTCGCGTCCCAAAAGGCCCCCCAAACCGCCCCAAGACGGCCCCAGAGGTCCCCAAGACGGCCGAAGAAGGCCCCAGGACGGCCCAAGATGCGCCCAAGACTGCCCCAAGACTGGGAGCCCGAACCAACAATTCGAGCCGTCTATCCCAAGATGCCCACAGGAGGTCCCACGAGGCCCCAAACCGCCCCAAGACGGCCCCAGGTCCCCAAGACAACCGAAGAAAGCCCCAGGACGGCCCAAGACGCGCCCAAGACTGTCTCAAGACTGGGAGCCCGAACCGACAATCCGAGCTTTCCGTCCCAAGATGCCCACAGGAGGCCCCAAGAGGGAGGCCCTCAATAGGCCCCCCACACACGGCTCACAAGAGGTCTCGAAACTGCCTCCAGGAGGCCCCCGAGAGGCCTCCCCCGACATCCCAACGAACATCATAGATGCCTACGAACCACAACCATCAGATCCGCCGCCCCCTGGTGATCCATCACAAGGGTGGACGGCGCGCTCGATGTGTGAAAAGTTCTGTCAGTTTCTAAAGAACTCCTTGTGGGCGTCGGCCCAACCCACCAGCCACAAGGAAAATCAGGCTCCGTGCTTGGTTCATGCCTAGGATGACCCCTGAGGGGCCTCCAAGACGGCCAAGGTGGCCCAAGATGGCCTCGAAGTTTGCCCAAGATGGCCCAAGACGGTCCCAAGACGGGCCCACAGGCCCCCAAGATCACCCAAAAACGCCCCAAAATGTCTCCGAGAGGCCCGCAAGACGGCCCAAGAGGGCCCAAGAGGCCAACGAGAGGGCCACACAGACCTCCAAGATGGCCCTAAAGCGCCCAAAGATGGCTCCAACACAGGAAGGGTCCAAGACGGCCTCCAAAGGTCAAGAAGCTGTGTTGCTTTAGCAAGTTTAGCGCCCAAGAGGCCCCCCAAGAAAGCCCCCAAAGGCACCTGTAGGCGCTCCAGGATGCTAACACCAGTGATTTGCATTCGCTTGTTCAATCGTCTCAGCGTTCTCGTCGTTTCGGGCTTCCGACGCTCCAAGACGGGCATACAATCCCACGCAATCGCCCCATAACGGCCTAAGAAGCCCCCAAGCGGCCCGCAAGACGGCCCCAGAGACCTCCTAGGCAACCCTAGAGCGGGCCCCAAGCCCTGCCTCCGAAGGCCAAGGCGGCCCATAGAGGTCCACAAAGGCCCCTAAGAGGTCCCAGAGGGGCCCCAGGATAATCCCAAGAGGCACCAGGAGACCCCCAAGAGGCCAAGACAATCACCCCAAAAGGCTCCCAGGAAGCCGCCAGGCCGCCAGGAGGCCCGCCAGGAGGCCAACATCACTGATGTGTCTTAGGTTGTCCGATGAGTTTAGCGATTTCGCCGTTTCGGGCCTCCGACGCTCCAAGACGGGCACATAGCCTCCAGATATCGCCCCGAGACAGCCCAAGAAGCCCCCAAGAGGCCCCCAAGACGGCCCAAGACAAACCAACAAAACATCCCCAGATACCTCCTAGACTGCCCTAAAGGGGGCCCAAACCTACCACCGAAGGCCAAGCGAGCCCATAGAGGCCCCCAGAGGCCCCTTGAGAGGTCCCCAAGAGGCACCAAAAGAACTCCAAGAGACACCAGGAAGACCCCAAGAGGCCAAGTAGACCACCCCAACTTCCAGACAGTCCCCAGGGGGCCTAAAAAAGGCCCCAAGAGGTCTCCTCCTCCTCTGTGTCCTCCTTCCTCTCCCTTTCCTCCTCCGTTCTCTGCCTCTCCCCATTGTTTACCCAAGGGGTGCAACAACGGCGTTGGTACCACATAGTCCAATAGCTCGGTCACGCTTCGGCCCAACGTTTGGCCGCATGGGCAATCCCGACATGCAGGAGACGGCGGTGATTCGCGGTAGGCGTCTTCAATATAAAGCATCAAGGCCCGCCAGGCTGGTGAACGACAGCTCTTGGACGTGCAAGCTGTAGCCCTTCCCCGGGGATCAAAAATAATCTGTCATCGTGCCCCCTGGCACCCTGAAGCGTGCCATAATACCGAGTACCGTCTGGTAGAAACGACTTGTTACCCCCTACCCGTAACGTCCGTGACGAGGGGGGGCTGGCCACCCTGGAGGGGCATATGTAATGTGGCGGGCGCGGGCATGGTACTAGCAAAGGAAATGGTAGCCGCACGACTAGCCATAGTATTATTACAAATAGAGGCCACCATTAAACCGACAACGGCAATGACACCGCAGACGACGACCAACCCAAACAACGATAACGACGATGACGAC